AGAAAAAAGCTATGTGCACATGGCTATTCATGAAAAAGAGAACAAAAAAAATGAAAAATATTCATAAAGATCTTTGAGCTAGTGAAAATATGTCAAAAAGAAAAAAAGAAAAAAAAAAATAGAAAAAAATTAACTTCCAGCTATAGCTTCTAATACAAAAGACAAGGGCACAGTTACTACAACCCCCACTAACTTCTATCTGACCAAACTGTTGTAAAGAAAGAGAAAAAAAATAAAAACATGCAACATTAAGCTGTAGCTGTTAACTAAAAAGGCAGAAGCACATTTAAGACAATCTTAATGAACATTCAACTAGCTAAAGCGTTAAAAAAAACAAAAAAAAAAAAAAAAATAGCTGTTGCATACAGCTATACGTAGGTACATGATAAAAAAAAAAAAAAAATGAACTATATGCAAATTCAGAAGAATACACAGGGTTCATACATATGATACTTAGTGTATTCTTCAGATTGGCCACACCACACAGTATATCGATCTGTAATGTTTTACAAAGAATATTCCAAAGTTACATTATTCATAACGTACAATTAATCTGCCTAATTTCAAAGTGTGTGACGCATGGTGTGTCCAACAATTATTGCAAGTGTGCACATATCCGTAATGTGGCGCGGGATGACGACTATTATTTTACATCTCTCATGCGTAGCAGAAGATCTTAAACCTGCCGTACATAGTACAAACACGTAACCTAACGTCGCATACTCCTCATCACAATAAGTTCGTTCAAATAAATTTTCTGCTCTAAAGTGTGTTATTACCTCCACAATTCAGCACAGCCCGAACTGACTCCTCATCCCATTATGCAGGATACAAATATGAGCAAAAAACTAGCATGTATTTTGGACGTCCAAGAAATGCCAACCTTTGGAAAACATCGGAAAATTCGAATTCGAGTAATAAAAAAACCTATTGAAAGCTTACACCAGACTCTTATGCACATTAAGTTCATCCTAACCATGCTTCAACTATGTCTTAGACTTCATACAGTACCATTTTAAGAAACACGCCACTATATGAATTCAACGCCGTCCTCACTCTTTAATGCAACACAAATAGTACCAATATAGGTCGTACCTGCCCAATACTGTTTCATTATCGTTCATAAGAATTATTAGGCAATAGTTTTATACATGAGCTGCACACACCATGTACGCATGAATACACACACTTTTTAATATGGTGTTCAAGAATAAAACAATACCTCCCTATATGGGTTCTTATTATATTTTGTTCCCGACTCGTTCATTCTAGTTCATGCAACTTTTCTATGTTGATCAAGTTTAAAATTCTGTAAATGGTGCATGTGCATACTCTAGAATTCATGCATACGCGAGAATACGGTCACCACAAATCACAATTCACTAATATTTCATAAAAAAAAAAGTGTCCACCATCTCCTCTCTTCAAAGTTTATTATATATGTAACAGGGGCCCGTGCAATCGGTGAACTTTCATGAACAGAAGTTGCAGTATCATTTCATTGTGTTCCCCTCCTTAAAGAAATTCCGTTTGCTCCGTAAGAAAAATAAAGGCACAAAAGGAAAAAACAAAAACGGTAGCCGGAGAAAGTAGTGTACACACCCATTATTCAACATGGTGGTGTAAACAACTTCCAAAAGAAAAAAAAAAAAAAAAAAAAAGAGGACGGTCCTCAATAACTTATGCAAGAATGCTCCCTTTCTTACATCAATAAACACACATATACTATGCATCCGTAATGAATAAGTGCAACATATACATATATGTAGTTGTAATATATACATCCTGTTCCTTTCTTAATTACATGACACTATATTTCATGTGTACCTGATATGCATTTGTATGCACAAAGTGCTCTTAAATGAAGAAGAAAAGAGCACCTGTTGCAATTCATAAGAAGACCTATTCCATAAGTATGCTGTACGGTACCCGAGAATAGTTAAATGGACGAATAGGTGACATAATTATGCACCGGAAAAAAAAAGGACACCACCACTATATGCACACCATGTTAGGAATCCATCATGTACAGGTAAATATACAGTGTGTCCTATGATACACACAAAAAAGAAACCTGAGGCCTCCCTTGGAAAAAAAAAGGAGAAAAGGGACAATTTCACATATATATGGTGCATCGGAAAAAAAAAAAAAGAATTTTCTTATATATGACCTTATTTCACACAATAATTCTATATTCCCCTCTCTCCGCAGTTTCAACATGAAAAATGGAAAAAAAGGAAAGAAGGAAAAGAATTAGTAGAAAAGGCAGAAATCATGTGAAAACCACAGGATTAAATGTTTCAGTTTCACATGAACGGAAAAATCACACATAGTGAGACAGAAGGAGATTGAAAGTTCAAAGCCTAAGAATGAAGGTTTCTGTAGTTTTTCCGTACTCTCGCTATGAGGCAACAGCATCTCAATGCTCATATGAGGATAAGAACAAATACTTCCGCACACACTTCGGACAACAGTGATAATAAATACGAACAATGGAACGTACACATCCTATGTAAAATGAAAATGCAAGGATTAAATAAAAGAGAACAAGTGCAAAAATTTTGTGACAAACTGTTGTTACCATCCACTTATACTATAGATTCAATCGATATGCCACATCCTGTGAACACGCGCTCTCCTTTTTGTTTTTTTTTGTTTTTTTTTTTTCTTTTTTGTTCATATAACAATTTCATTAACTATTACATGAACATACTACATGAGGATATTACACAGTAGACTATAACAGGAGGCTATTATACATGATGCTGTCGCACAGCAGTCCTTTTACAGGAGTTTAGTATAGGAGTCTATTACACTGTGTAAGTAATGAGGGCGACTTCTCCCTTTAAAAAAGGAACCGTGGCCAGTTTATTTTTTGTCCTCATAAATTGATGTATTATTATTTGTAATGCTCCCGTGCACCAAAAAATATGTGCGCACACTCTAATATATTTGTAGGGTCATCGAAACCGCGGGAGGACAGCGAAACAGATTAGGGTTATTTTAAGGGAAAACACAATAGAAAGATGTTTTCTTTTTGCAATTAGCGAGGTATTTTGAAAACAAAAAAAAAAAGGGGGCATGAGAATTGTTATAAAAACAAAAATAATAATAATAATAATAAATGGTTACATTATTTCATCCCTTTTTTTTCCACAATTCAAGAAAAATATGGAAATTCACCACCTGTTCATCGGAGTCACCTATATTAGAGAATAAGCCTAACCCAGGGTGTAATGCTAAAAGGAGAGGGGATTTATTAGATTCAGGGTTCAGGGTTCATTCAGTATGAACTGTGGATATGCATCATCGTTCGACGTTTCAGGCTCCCGGTTTTGCCCTCTTCCTCCATGTGCTACGTTCATGAACTTATTATATAAGTACTACAGAAGAGGTTATAAAGAAAGGCATCATAACAAATAAAAATGCGCACAAGTATAATATATGTATAATGAAGAACTTCCAAAAGTAAATGTACACTCCCCTTGGAGTAAACAGCAGGTGCCAGAGACACGAAGAGGCATTTTTAGATATTCAGATGAACCATAATTATATATAAAGGCAAAAGGAAATGTAATGCGAATACATAAAATGTTCGAATTTTATGTTTAAGGTAAAAATTAATCATTATTGCCTTTTCTAAAACATTGACTTGCGAACTTGAGGAGAAAAAATCATTTTGTCCACGTACAAACATGGTACAATGAAAGTTTATAAATTGCTTAAACACTTTTTTCCTATTATATATATATATATTATATTTATATTTTGGCTTCTTAAAGTGCAAAGGAAAAAATTTACAACTTGTATGGGCTTCGTTGTTTTATTCTTATTCCATATGCATACATTAATTCGGAATCTCGGTATTATATATGCATATAAGAATCATTTCAATTTTATAGTGGGTGCGTTTTCCATAAAAATATAAAAATGTTCAAAAAAATTATCCCATTGAATTTTTTCCCGTTTTTGGGGGGACATTTTATAATATATAATTATAATTCGGCTCAATTTTAAAAGGGGGAAAAATGAGAAAAAACAATTAATTTTTTATACAAAATACAATATGTGGACGAAAAAAAAATTCTTTTTCGGATTGCGCATAATACCCGTTTTCAATAATAATCAAAACAGGAAAAAATTATTTATTGCAAATAGATGCACGAATAAAAAAAGAGTAAAGAAATAAATAATAAACAGTTGAACAGAACAAAGTTGAAGAATTATGGAAATATAGGAAAAAAAAAAGGAAATTAGAAAAATTGTAAAAAAAGAAATTAAAGTAATAGTGAACAGAAAAAAAAAAAAAAAATAGAAACATAGGAAAAAAGGGAAAATATTACAAAAAAATAGTAAAAAAAAATAATATAATTCAAACAGTACAAATTTTGTTTATGTTTCTTATTTGTTTCTTCCGAAATTATGTAGTTAAGCTTCTAATAAAATGTCAGAGATTGGGAGAAAAGTAAATTCAAGTACTTACTAAAGTATTAACGAATTATCGGGTCCAAGGAAGAGAAAAAAAAACATTAGCATTCTCTGTCAGCATTTATTATAGTATTTGAAGCTGTATATAAAAGGAAGAGGTGTACACTATGGTTTATTCTGTCACAGAAGTAAGAATGAGCTGTTTATTTAAAATTTTTTTTTTGGTTGTATATACGTGTTCTTTGCGTTTGCATTTGTCCTTTGTATGTGTCATGTTTCACCTGTTTGACCTATGTGGCTCGGATTGATTTGTTTCAATTGTTGTGCCATACGCGATGTGGTTGCCTATATAAGAATATGTGCATCTGTTTTGTGTTCTTCTTTTGACTTTTCATGCGATGCATATGCTTTACCCCGTCTGCGCGAGTCTATGCAAATTCGTTTTCATTACTGCATATATTCCGATTTTCTGTTCATTTAGGATTTTAGGGGAATGATGAATTTATGATTGAATCCGAACACTTCAAGACACTTTTTTGACAAAGAGGGTCCATATATTCTTCTTATTCAATATGCAAGCGCAGGCAGAATCTATCTTTGCAAAGACCCATATATTAAAAGCAGTGAAAAATGGTCTGAATGCGTGTTTTCAGGAATCCCGCAATATATGTCAGACAGATTACAGAAAAATGATGAATTATGGAATTTTAATTCTTGGTATTTTTTTCATATTAGGTTATTATATGGAAAGAAAGGTAATGCGATTAAATGTGGAACATGAATACTGTGCACGTCTTGTAGTTTCATTCGTTCATTCATGTAGGTGCTGTCCTGAATTGAAAAGTGCCTCTCCATTTATTCGTCCGTGCGTGAATACATTTGAGTAGTAGTCTTACCATTATTCTTGACACACACCCTCATTACTTTTTCCTCTGCTTTCCCTGTATTTCTTAATTTCAGAAATGTATGCAAAGAGTTAGACGGCGTGGCTACTTGTCGCGTCCCGCAACATGATTGAGTAAGCAGGTATTACAGGGACGATAGAATTATAGAAGGACCCAGAAGAACTTCCCCCTGGAATTTTACGTGTTCTACAAGGGCACCAGCTCTCTTAGCGGCGTAACAGTGTTTTACTACTGCTGTTCTCATTGCATAAATCATGCATTGTATGCTGCGAATGTATTTTTGTTTTTCTTCTTTTTTTTTCATTTGACTCATATGAACCCGAATAATATGGTACTTCCTTTATTACATAATATTAGGTTTTGCTTATTTCTTTTTTTTTTTTATCGTTAAAATTTTTTGTAGTTAATATTTGCATGTTCGTCGCCAGCAACACCGCCTTCCCCCGTTATGTATAAAAGGGATTTCATATTTTATCGCGAGTACATATGATATCCTCTAAAACTTGTTTTTTTTTGTGACACTATAAAATACACCCATAATTGTTTGTTCATTTTTCTTCTGTTCGTGTTCTAATTTTAACTGCTTTGTTCTACATTTGTATATTGAATTTGTATTAATAGTGTGTTACATGTAATGGCTTCATGCGTTTATGTGAGATGTCTATTCATAATTGAACACTCTCATTTTGTGGAAACACAAAATTTAATATAAACAAAATGAAAAAATTGCAAAAATTGCGCAAAAAAAGGAGAGAAAAAGCTGAAAAAATAGAAAAATCCACATATATTATTCTTTTATAAGTAGAATTAAAAGGAAGCAATGGTTGAACTTTATTTTACTGGATTTTTCTTTTTATTATTATTCACACGAAAGGATTTTTAGGAATGTGCAAAGATTTGTATGGATAGTGTGCTCTTATGGGTTTTTCTTTGCTAGGTGCGTACTTGGGTAACATGTGTTTATACTACCTTAAGCTGCTAATGCAGGGAATTTTTTTTTTGTTTTTTCTTCTTTTGCGTATGTTAGTGTGCATACATAAGGCATGATATAATATGAGGGGTACAGGACTTTAATCTTTTGCTTCACAAAATAATGGACGACGCACATTCTGTAGTGGGTAATTTTGTACTCTACGTTAATAATGTTGCACACATATATTGACTAATGCGAACTACTAGTGATTAATTCAGAACAAAAAAAAAAAAAAAAAAAAAAGGAGCACGGTTATTCAATTTATCCTATAATTTTATGAATGAATGTGTTTACATGATTCAGAGCAAATCTCTACCAATGATAACTGTGAATAGGTGTTCTACCTGCATAACTTTTACTTATTCTCCAAAAGACGCCTCCAGAATTTTGATAAAGCATGAGGGTTTGCGTCATCTATATGTTGTTTCAGCTTCGTCAGAAGGCATAAAGGCTATTGCATGTGATCCACGTAAACAAAGCACGCTCTGCTGTTTAGGGTTTAGTCAACTATGCGACTCAGAAAGGGGGACAGATTAAACTATAGCAGCCAGAGTTTTCAAAACATTTGTGATGTAAGTTAGTTAGTATACACTGAGGCGGCAGAGAGGAACACATGTGCTTATTCGAGCACAGTATATATATACATTTATATAACGCTCTCATTGCCCTACACTGTGCAGTAATACTATTTTGATAAAAGATTGTCCGTGAAGACAGACGAAAAGGGAACTACACTGCGCTGCATACTTCTACACGTAGTTGTATCAATAAGATACAATGTTTATGTTAAGACGATGAGGAAAGGAAGTCTGTTCTATATTTACATTAAACTTACTTTTATACATATTAACATTCGTGAGCGCACATATTTCTTATGCGCCATTTGGTGGAAGGATAAAAAGGATGAATTATTAAATAGACCACTTTGTCATATGAAGGAAAAAAAGGGAAAGGAGTATATTTAGATAAAAATATAGGAAAATGTCTGGGCGCGGGGGCGTCGATTATACTCTGTGCATTACGGTGAGATTCAACTGTAGCGTAACATGGTAAAAAGGTTGTGACAATGTATACTGAACTGCCATTTATTTGTAGCACAAATCAGAAGGACATCTTTTTAAAGAACGAACCAGATTTCCTCATGCTCAGATGGAAGATTTATATTCGCGGGTAATGTACGCATCAGAAATATCACTTTTAATAATACTGTGAACAAAGAGGAATGTATGGAACTGCTTTTGAGTGCACAGAACAGAATGAATTCAAAAATGGACCGTCGTGTAAATGGTGTAGGATCCTTGAGCAGCTCTATAACCTACTGTGTGTCATTTCAATGAATGGTGTTATTATTAGAAAAAACAAGTCTCAGCAAAGAGTTCCACTGGAACAGGTGTTTTGCTTCGTTCCTCTTATTACCATGAGGAGGTGATAGGGAATACACCCACTTCGTTTTGTGGAAAAGGGGACTTAAAGTAGAAATGCGTTGAGATGTAAACGTGTGGAAATTGAATTTGTAGTAAGTGCCCAATGGAGGACAACGGGAGTCAAAGGATGGTTAAATGGACGAAATGGACCAAGTGAACATAATATGCCAAATGAACTGAATGAACCAAATAAACCAAATAAGCCGGGTAAACAAAACAGGGCAAGTGAAGCGAATAATGCATTGGACTCAAATGAAACGAATGAACCAAATGTGCTGAGTGAACCGAATAATGAAAAACAGAACAATCATGCTCATGCAGTAAACAAGTAGAATAAAGAGGAAGGGAAAAAAATGAAGTGTTCATTAGGACCTGAATTATAAACTCTTCAAGGCACGTTTGTTCATAAAATAATAATGTGTTAACTCATTTATCACGGAAAAGAATACAACAGCTTTATGCGGGGGGGTGAGGAATCAATTTCATCCTATTTACTCTTTTTTTACGTTATATAAATATGTGCATATTTTGCTGTCATCCCTTGTTTAGTGCGAAACAGACGATTTCGATGGACTTTACAAGATTAGGGAAAATTATGGAAATATGAACATGTACATACGCATATTTATTTGGCTTACGGGCGCGTAAATTAAGTGCATTTTTATTAATATGTAAATGTTGAAAGAGCAGAGCTTATTGTACTACTTAACCTGGACATAGCAAAAAAAAAAAAAAAAAAGTTAAACAAACGAATGAAGTGAAAAGTGCTGAAATGAAGAGGTAAAGGTTTGATTTATGAAGAAATTACATATGCCGATATAGTTATATACATTATATAATACCAACTCTGTGCGAGTATAGTTACACTAGCATATAAATAGAACATACAGTTATTTTATTATTTATTACTATAATATTCCAGCTGTTTCTGTAAAATCACAGTGATATATTACATTAATTTAATAGGTAATTTATAAAGTATTTTTTCTGCGTACTGAATTATATGCAAATAGTATACTATTTCGAGCCTAACGATGAAAATCTAGGATTAAGGAAAGCATATAAAAAGCGGCGAGGAACGATACATATGATCCTTTTTTGGTGAGTGCTCACAACAAAATTGCAATCGAATTTGTACAAAGGTAAAATGAGTATTACACCTTAATAAAAAAAAATATATATATTATAAATGTCCTTTCATTTTTTTTTCTGACGTATAAATAGGCAAAAGGACAATGTAAAAAAAAAAACTGCTTTCTAGGAATTTTATTTATTCATACACATGTAATGCGCGGTACGTATAAAGAGACATATAGTGGAAATGTTTCATGGTATTCTCATAGCGTATTATTTTCCCCTCATATGAAATTTCTAAATTTGGAAATTTAGGATTCCTCCAAAATAATAAAAACAGAAACAAACAAACAATTATTGATTGACTTAATTAGGGTTTACGAGAAATTGCATTGGTTCAATTTTTGAAAACAAATTCTGTGTACAGTGCGGGCGAAACCAAATGTTCACAAATGATTTGATTCAGCAAAAAAAATATTATTAGCACACCTCAATTAAATTATAAAAAATATGTAACAGATAATATAAAAATAATAATCATTCTTTTATGTTTAAAAAATAAAATAAAATAAATAAATGGGCGAAATATATTATTTTAAATAAGGGCGATTTAAAATAAATTCTTTTAGAAAAAAGAGAGAATAATGCAATTTCCATATTTTTTTTTTTTTTTGTACTCTCTTTGTGCAGTATTGCTATTAATTAATTTATCTGCATGAAACAATTTTACAATTCATTCATGGGGATAAAAGAAAAGAAGAAAATTCTATAAAGAAATTTTCTAAATTGGATTAAATTAGAAGTTTTTAAAAAGAAATAAAATAATAATAATAATTATACATATATTTTATCGTTTTCTTAATAGTTGCGCGTGTAATACTGTGCTATGGATTATACCATTTCAGTAAAATATACTTACACAGTTTATTATTATGTTTGCTTAAAGTTCCATATATCGCAGAATACCGTTAAACTTAGAGAAGAAAGAATAAATAGTATATTATAATTATATAATGCATAGGAAAAATTTGAGAAATTCTTGTTTTTGCCATAAAATATTAAGTGGAACGGAACTTTCTGATGTTGTTATAAATGTAACATATACGAACATACGATGTTTAAATTTTTACAGTAAAGTGAAATTTTATTTCATTGTCATTCTATTTCGAAATTACTGCGAGTGGAAAATTTTAAATGCATTTCTTTTATGCCAATTAGGGCATTTTAATTGTTGCCAAAAATTTTACCTGTAAATATTTTTTTTTTTTTTTTGTGTACAAAATATATTCACTTTGCATTGAATCAAAAATTGTATTCATAAGAATCAGATGTAAATTACAGCGAATGCTTATGGCATGGTAAATAAAGACAGGAAGAACACTGCTCCCCTCAAATTAAGAGACTTTAATACCTATAACTTTTTTCGCATACCCAAAAAATAGGTATAACTTTTTATTTCGTTCTGCATTCGTATGTGTACTTTTCCTATTTGCGAGCGCTACGTTGTTGGAGTGATTGAAAGCAAGAAGTAGGCATCAGAATGAAAATCCGAAGAGTGAAAGAGCATAAGTAGAAAGCGCAAAAGGAGGAAAACGTCCTTTTTGTTTTTTTACTTATGCTCTTTCACTTTTTGCTACTCACCTTCTTACTGCACACGCTTTGCTTACCTACCTTTGATATATACCCATTTTGATCCACAATTATGTTCGTGCATCTGCACAATTACGTTTTTATGGCTCCACCACATATCGCCTCATTTCGTGACTTTTCCAGTTTAGGAATATTTTTCTTATTTGCAAGTTGCTACAAATTACGAGAAAGAATAGCCGTCAGAAATAAATACACTAGTGAAGATGTTTGATTCAGATAGTTCTGGATTATATCCTACAGCTCAGGAAGATCTCAGTGCGATCAAGTCCGCTCTTGGAGGATATGATCAAAGCGGGGGTTTATTGTCTTTCTTGGAACCCCGATTTTTGCGAGGAGTCTTGGTTGGTATCCTCATATTTTATGTAATGTTATACTATACTCGCCGATACAAAAATAGGGTAAGTTAAACTCGAACATGCCACATTGTTTTTAGAAGCAGTTAATCTTTTGTTAACTTGATCACTGAGAAGAGAGTGTTCTTTGGGTTAACGCTCAATTGACCATTTGACCCCGGCATACACAATTGATCCTTCACAATATCATTCCAATTTGACTGCTTTTTACATTTCAGGTGAGTAACTTGCCAAGACGTAATTCATTTACGTATGCTACCATGCCAACTCAATTTCCATATGGAGGATTCCATGAAGAGGAAATGCAACGATAATGTTGAGAAAATGAAGAATGCGGCGGAAAAAGCATATTTTAGGAAGGTGGTGGCTAAATAGCTTAGGCGGTGCACCACACTTGCACTTTAGACGTGTTTCTATTGGGATACCTTGTTTGAACAATGTAAGAAGGTTATATGCGTCCATGCACATATACGTATATATGCATATATACATATATATGCATGTGCCCATATTTTATACTCCCCCCACAGTTTTCACTCACATAAGTTTTTAAATGTGAGTAGTATAATGTGTACATTTTTGACTAAAATAGAGTCACTTAATATAATAACTCTGTTACGTAAAGGTGTTAGTTCTTTCTGTCACGCGCAAATTCATGTATTTTAATTAAAATTTACGTTTCGAACCGATTCATCAGAGTATAATTTTTTTTTTTTTTTTAAATTAGAAAAATGATGTATACTTTATTATTATTTTTTTTTTTTGGCGAATGGTACACATGTATATTATATATCTTAATTTATTGTCTTCCTTCACCATTAGCTAAAACAAAAATAATGTTTGTGTATTATACATGTTTTTCTACTACATTTTTATGTTAACCGTCATGTTAATACTTCAATGATAAATCGATCAGCTGATAAAATGTTAAAGTATAATTTGTTTGTAACAATTAAATTTGTACTTTTCAGCTAAATAGAATTCATGCATAAATAAACGCATATATATGAATATATGCATACATATGTGTATACATGTCGGTTATTCGAAAACACAGTGAAAAACAAATTCCTACTGATGTAAAGTAATATGAAAGGATGCGGTGATGCATTCGCCTACTCTGTATTACTCCTACAGCACATGTGGATGAAGTCCGCTTTTTACCTAGTTGTAAAAGACATTGTACATTTGGGAAAGTGCTTGTTGTCGCCCCATTAGCACGAGAGAACACGCATAATCAACATATTTGTTACCTTATCGTCCTTGGCAAATAATTGGAGTTTATGCCAGAAAAAGGGTTACATTTGGGTGACTTTCTATTGCGGAATATTGGAGAGTCACCCTCTTTGTTAAGGGAGTAGTACATGTACTGCACTGTCTTCTGCCCATGGGACACTCCTATGTTGCGTTAAGTTTATCTTTGTTATCTTTAGTTCATCGTGTAGTGCAATGCTCACAAGGCTTCTTATAGTTCTATATTACAGTATCCATATGGAAAGGAATTCCTTACGTATTTGAGGGTCCACTTTGGTAATGTTTTTAGTGTAGGATATATACCAGAACTGGGGTTCCATTTTACATTTACTCATAGTTTTTAATTTGTTCAATGAAAAGACACTGCGAATTATTTTCGTTTTCGTCTGTACCCACTGACGGGAATTTAATACACACAGATGGAATATAAAAACTGGGGTATATAATAATAATAATAAAGTGTTGTGCAGAAATATGGCTCGAGAAGAGAAAAGAAAAATCTTCGCATTATTGTGCGCACAATATTGCAACTTTTTTATTGCTTAGGGACAAAAGCATAAGGGGAGTAATACAAAAGTGTCAATACTTTTACACGCTTTGATAATCCACATGTTACTTTGTATTTTCTCCTCTTAGGCCATGAACCCTGTAGCTTAATATATGATTTATGCTCAGGATAAATTTACTTGTTTGATGTCTTTTTGATAAAAACAAAAAAAAAAAAAAAAACAGAATGAGAAGGCCAAATATGAGCACAGTACATGCGTCACATTAAGGAATAGCCTAATTTTTTGCTTCTTTATTGTAATTTTCTTTTTTTACATTTGCTTAAACATTTTTTTCCTTCTTGCTTTTCGAAAAAGAATTAAGAGGGTACTACTTTTCTGTCCCCCCTTGCTCATTCTCCAGGTTGAGCTGTAGATATCCGTACAGAAGTAACAAATTCAATAATAGAATTTTATTTTAATGTTTTATTTATTCATCCATTATATCATTAAGACATTATTATGACATTAAAACACATAATAGGCAGTATGCAACGTAAAAAAAAAAAAAAGGGGGGGGAGAAAAACAGAAAGTCATAAAAGTTATAGAACGGTTTTTTGTGTGCAACATGCCATTCTTCAGACAAAAGGAATATTTATTTGATACATAAATGTATATGAATATATATATGCGCACTTGAGAAGTATGCAAATATACATAACATTTACTTAATTGCGGGGCAACGTAAATTTTAATTAGAAAAAAAAATGATAATATATACTATATAAATATACAGTAAGTTGCCATTTGATAAAGCAGGTGTATGACTATATATGCTACGCAATAGAAAAAATATATATTCTAACAAAATTCCTTAATTGTAGGCAAAAATGCGTGATGCAAAGGGCGCGGTGGGTGTTAATTATGTATGTGTATAAAGAGAAAAAAAAAAAAAAAAATATATACATAAAGGAATAGAATAAAACATAATAATGCGATACCGATGTGTGCAGGAAACACATTGGGGAAATCTCAAGCGAATTGAAGTAGCACTTTCTCTGAACCTGTGTTCGGGAGTGTACTTTATTGTGTTTTCTATGGACTAAGCTGAAATTAAGGTACATCCATACATGATTGCATTATGTTAATATTATATTGTGCTGAAAGGATGCTATGTTGCACCACACTACTCGCCTAAAATTCTGCGTACCCCACTTTTTGTCGCATTTATAATGTGAGCCATTTTTTCATGCACACTTATCGCTTAATCCAGATTAGCATCATTCATATGTGATTGGTATCTTACAAGTCTTAATAATAAATCTTTGTAATAATGACATTTCCTTTGAGACATGTAATCCCATATTTGTAAACTAATTAATATAGCAAAAACGTAGACTAACATGTTTATTAGGATCTGTCTCAGAGTTTTGTTGTTTATTCCAAGTTGCTGCAATATGTTTGGTCGTTGGTCATGGACACCAGTGAGGTTTATCATGGTTGGGTTGGGTGGGATTTCATAAGTGTCTCTAATTTCCTCTGTCTCTTCATATTCACTATGGTATTGGGTAGTTTGGTCTGATTTGTCGCTGTTATTTCCTGAATACATTTTCGATTATTGCATTATTATATAAGGGGAAAGAGGGGGTACTTATTATTCTTGGTCACTCTATTTTTAAATATATTTTACATTTATAATTGTTGGTCTGAATGGTGTGTTCAGCGGAGTGGATAACTATATTGTATTACTAAAAAGTGCTTCTTCCTAGAATAGGAGGGGAAAAGAAAAGATACATTATTATTATATATATATTAAGCACACACAGGGGGATAATATGTATTGTACATATGTGATGCGAGTCCTCACGCGTATTAGTATTCACATTCCACATATGTATGGACGTGGAGGACAAAGAACGCAAAGTGGCCTCCGCAAAACAGTTAATAGATCAGTAGGTTGTGCATTAGGGGTGGGAAATGGTTATGGTTCCCTTTTCTCGAATAAGCAAAAAGGTCTAGAAGGTACGACATGTAGGGGGCCTAACATGTTGATAGGCCTGTAGAGTACATATGCATATATAATGCATCATATTTGATGAAACTACTGCTGTACCTTATTCGAAAGGAATAAAATTCAACCAGCTATATGGGCTTGCCAATTCTTTCTGTGTATCTCTATAACTGTAAAAAGGAAGTTATAACGTACTTAGTGTATGTTTTGTTACCATATAATCATTGTTCTGTTGGTAGTTATTTCTTCATAAGAATTAACGTCTTAACACAATAATGTTACTGTTCAAATTAAGTTCTTTTTTTTTTTTTTTTTTTTTTTTTTTTT